TTTTTAATTAAAATAAATTTAATCAGTAATCATTTTTAAATCTTTTTTTATTTTTTTAGTTTGAAAAATCACTGATAGAATATATTTTATTTTTAATTAAAAATAAATTTTATCAAAAATCTTTTTAAAAATAAGTATTTTTTGTAAATGTAAGTACTCTTTTGGTTCAAAAAATGTTTAGGGACTTAATCGTTCAAAATATGAATGTTAATTGGTTTTCTTTTTTAATTTTTTCCAATATTTTACTACATTATCCAATAGTATAGATCATAAAAATGTATCTAACAGGTTTTAGAAAGTTCAATGAGTTATTTAACATGTTTCAGGAATGTCCAATGACTTATTTATTCCAAAAAGTTGTCAATAGACCTAATATTCCATACATTAAAATCCATTAGATTTTTTAAACTTTTCCCAAATAAAAACATAACTAAAACCAACAATTTACTAATTGGTTTCTCTTCCTTCATAGTCATTAAATAATGTTTGTTTTTCCAATTTAGATTTTAAAAATGATTAAATTGAATAAATTTATAATCTATATGTTTTTATATATTTGATTATTAATCAAATAATTTTATTATTTGTGAAGTATATGTATAGTAAAATTACATTTTTCGTCCTTGTGGTTTGATCTTGATTACGATGTAGATCCCTAAACCTTAAAATTCATGGACAAGGTCCTTGTGGTTTCACTTTCATCACGATAGAGGTTCCTAAAACTAACTTCTGTTAAAAGACTCCATTAAGTCAGGGGTATTTTTGTCTTTTATATTTTTTGTTTTCTTTTGAAAATAATCTAAATAATGAAAAATATATATATATATATATATATTATATATCTAATCTCATATATAAATACACAATTACGTGGTCATCCCATCATCCCCTCATGACCTTTGGCAAACCCCTGCCTTTTTGCCTTCTCTGGTGAGAATTCATCGGTGCCCCTCTCATAACCACCCACCACTATAACCCAACCAAAACACCTGTAACCCAAGACCTTGTTTCTCAAGTTTTCATCAAAAAAGAAGGTAGATATATAAAATTGTTGGAACAAAAATGTTGTATTCAAGTCTCGGTGCTAAAATGTTTTAATATGCTTTGTAATGTAGTTTTCTTTTATAGAAGATTAGTTTAGTTTCCTTTTAGAGTAGTTATATAAATAGTTAGTTGTTAGTTGGTTGATTTGACATATTCATACTCATACGTACAAATTGATTGAGAGAGATTAGAGAGATTCAAGAACATTGTACTTAACAGTTTTTGGAATACAAGCTTGCTGACATATTGAAATCATTCTATGTTCTTGATTACTGATTGAATTGATTGTTATGACTTTAGTCTGAGATCACAAAAATCCATGGGGACTAAAACCAAAAATTGACTTCAAATAGCAAAACTAGAAGCACCCTTCTTTCCAAGGAAAACAACGTTGCATCCTTTCTATTTTTCAGCTTTTCTGGCACAACCATTTGTTTTTGATAAATCTGGTCCTACAAGCTAGCCATATTCGGCCATTGCAAAGCTCATTTGGGTTACCGACCACCACCATTTCACCCATCTCTTCCCCTTTCCTGTGATGGTAAGACCCTCCATCCTAACCCCATGCTCCATTTTCTCCAGCAAAACCTCTTACTCCCCAGTCTTCCTCACTGAGATCCCGATACTGCAAGACAACAAAAAGAAAAAAAATGAAAACATAAACCATCGCAACCTCCTCATTTTCTCATTGATCCTAATCTAGATCTTTAAAGGATCTACATGGTGTAGGTGTCCGAGAACGATTTCCCTCATCCCACCATGGTGCAGTTTTGTGTGTTGCAACCACCAGAATTTCCATGGTTCAGGTGTGAGCTTGGTTTCTTCATCTGGTTTTGGGTTTCTTCAAGGATTAGTCTGGGTTTCTTCATCTAGATTTATGTTTGTTTAGGGATCAATATGGGCATCTTCAGAATCAATTTTAGTTTGGGGCTCTTCAAGGATTGATCTTGGCATCTTCATGATTTCTAGATTTTTTTTGTTATTCAAATTATTTGATTTGGAATTTTAAATTATAAATGAACTAAAATACCCTTGACTTAACTGAGTCTTTTAACGGAAGTTAGCTTCAGAGACCTCCATTGTGATGAAAGTGAAACCGCATGAACCTTGTCCATGAATTTTAGGGTTCGGGGACCCCATAGTAATCATGATCAAACCACAGGGACAAAAAATGTAATTTACTCATATATATATATATATATATATATATATGGACAAAAAGTGATTACTTTGCATAAAATGAGTGAATATTAATTAAATTTTAAAATATTGATGTTTTAAATACTGTGTGTGCAGGGGTCATGTCGGCTTCAACCAGGCAAAGACCATCAATAATCCATCATCTGTAATCTTCCCCTTTTCGCCTTTACTCTTTTCTTCCAAACCCTAATCATTTACTATTACTCACCTCTATCTTTGATCCTCCGTTTTTTTTCCTTGTTTAGATTGTTGATTGGTGCGGATATGGGTGGTGATCCTTGTTTCTCCTCGATTTATACTCACTTCTGCTTCAATTCCTAGGTACATTCGTTGTAAGTTGTTGATTTAGTTTTGATTTGAGTTTGTTTCGTTTATTGATGATTTTTTACTTAGGTAGCTGTAGAAATTGTATCGACTTGAATCTGCATAAATTTAACTTCGATTTTTGTTCCTCCAATTTTTTTGCCTTTTCATTGTTGTGTCCGATCTTTTGGTGTTTGGATTTCTGTTTGATCTGCAATCGGCGGATTTACTTTTTGCGGTCTAGCCTGTATGGAGTATGGTTGATGGAAAGGGGAGATGTGGTTGGTTAGGTGGAGTTACTTTACATGGTAATTTTGCAATGTAATTTAAATGCTGTTACTATGTTTTGAGTTTTTCCGGATGATGTTCAAGCTATTCTGCTAGTGGGAACTGCAAAGAAGTTGTGATTTTTCACTTTGTGGAGAGTTTTATCCTGAATGGAAGGAAAAGTATAAAAAAGGGGTTTGCAGCATATGATCCACCGCCTGAGACAGTCATGCTTTTTTATGATACTTCAGGCTGTATACCTTAGAAAATGGCTTTTTCTGCTGCCTTTATAGGCCAAAAAGCTGATTGTAACCGAAAGACTCAACTATTTAGGTCATGGTACTAGTGGCTTACAAGCCATCTGTTTTGTTTCCTAGCCCACTGGTTAATGCTCTGGAGTTTTATTGATAGCATACTGGTTACCATTCTGATTTCTTGCTTTTGGTTGTGTTTGTTATAGCTACTCGATACAGGACGTGGTGCTTCGTAGTGCAAGCCGATTTTTTCTAGTGGTGCTCCGTTAATCAAATTGTTTTCTTCATGGGACATATTGCTGGAACTCATTACCCTGGAGGGCCTCAGTCAGGTTATGATCTGATCAACTTTTTAAAGCTGGTTTCAGCTTAGAGATTCTCTTGTAATTGACAAGGAATTGAGCACCCTACCTCTATCCAACACACAAACACACATCAATTGGATGATGCCTGGAAAGATCTATCAATAATATCGCTAGTTTCATATTCAGTGCATGCCTTTGATTCATATGAGAACTTGTATGCGCAGTGTTCCAAATTTTTGTTGTTAGAAGTTGATGGTAAAATACTTTGTCTTCAAGCAGACAATGATCTTTGCATGCCTATGATTTTGCTTAAAGTTGTTAGGTGTCTCATCAACCAAACTGTGCAATTGATTAGTGTTGCTTTCTCTGTCTTGATATTATTATTAACCATGCTGAGTGAACACATCCATTTGGTGCAGTTCTGAATGCTTAGTGTTTGTTGAAAGAGGAGTGATTATTTAACTAGTCTAATTTCTAGTGTTGGTGAAATGAAAATTAGTAGTTGGTGTAAGCTTTGCGATAGGGGTAGCATTTGGCATGGTGCCGATTCCTTCAAATGCCAACAAGTTATGTACTACGGCAATTGATGATTTTGTTCTCCGATTTTCTACCTTTTTTGGTTATAACATATTCATGTTTTTCAGGATCCTTGGGTGATGCCATATACAAAGAATTGTGGCATGCCTGTGCTGGACCCCTGGTCAATGTCCCCCGTGAAGGAGAACGGGTTTATTACTTCCCTCAAGGACACATGGAACAGGTTTAATATTTCTTTTGTGAAGGGTTATTTTTGACATTTTATGTGGACCTTTCTTTATAATGCAAGAATGCATGTAGTTTCCTTGAGATTATTAGAGACTTAAAACGTATCACCCCTCAACATGCAGATATGATTTAGAAGTATCACCCTCAACAGTAATTGCAAGTCAACATGCATCAGTTTTGTTATATTCTTATTATTCCACTGAGCAATTCATTTTCTCTGCAATGACACAGAATTTTGGTTGTTCTTACAGCTTGAGGCCTCCATGCATCAGGGTTTAGACCAGCAGCTCCCATCATTTGACTTACCAGCCAAAATACTGTGCAAAGTGGTGAATATTCAGCTTCGAGTAAGTTTTGCAATTACTAATGGGGACCACAAATCTAGCCCATCATAAAGATTATTTGTGTGCATGTCTAACTAGGCAGACAAGGAAGGTTGTAATTGGGGATCTTATTTAGTAATCTAGTCAAGGTAATTTAATCTTTGTGGAGACTTTAAACTCTATGATCAAATTTGGATATTTTACTTTGGAGTCATCCTTGTATTTTTCTTAAAACTACAGTTAGATCACATGCTTCCTTGAAAAACCTTTTTGTTCCCAAGGTATAACATATTGAGTCAACATATATTAATCCTTGGTCTCAATAATTGTGTGATTTAGTAACTTGAAATTGACATGACTTCAGTTGGTCTTGCATATGATATGTGAGAAATCAATGTTTCCCATGTATAAAGTTTTAGATAACCAGTCCCTAAAACAGTGTCATGTCCTTTCTATTCAAAGAATTATTTAAAATTAATTTTGAGATCTGCTCTCGAAAATGAGGTTCAGGCTGTCTGCTCCAGCTTTTTAAAGCTGCATCTTACCCGTTCAAAGTACATAGAAGAAAAAGCGTTATCACATTTTATGATTGTAAGAATGACTAATGATTCTGGACTTCTTTTCAGGCTGAACCAGAAACTGATGAAGTTTATGCACAGATAACTCTGTTACCTGACCCAGATGTGAGCCTATTGAGTTATTTTTATAATTCTTACAAAGAATATTTTGCCATTTATGGTTTCAGATATCCCTCCCTGGCCTTTTGTTTTTCATTCTTATGTTCTTTTGTGAATCAGCAAAATGAGGTAACAATCCCAGATCCTCCACCCACAGAACCTCCTAGTTGCACTGTTCACTCGTTCTGCAAGACACTTACTGCGTCCGACACAAGCACACATGGTGGATTCTCTGTTCTTCGTAGGCATGCGGATGACTGTTTGCCTCCACTTGTAAGCTCTAGCTTTTCGCCTGCCCGTCTTTTATCGGCTGGAGTTCGCCTTTGGTTTTCTTGCTATTAACTTTGAGTTTTGTGGTCAGGATATGTCTCAACAGCCACCCTGGCAAGAACTGGTTGCTAGTGATCTTCATGGCAATGAATGGCATTTTCGTCATATATTTCGAGGTTACATTTTTTGTGACTTGCTTGCTCATAAAGTATGCACCATATGTGTACATATATCTGAACATGCATGCTTCATATACATGAGTCAGAATGTCAGACAGTTCTAAACATTCTGATCCCCTATAATGAGGATTTCATGTATTGTAGCCCATCGATAAATTTCTCTATTATAGTTTGTAACTTTGTTATTACCTTTCATGTTGTAGATCTCATTGTTTGCCTGGCTGTAGCTTTTCATGTCAAAGGAAGCGTTGACGGCTTTGTGAATGTACCTTACATGTTCTATAAGCCTATAATCTTAATGTTGCACTTCTATTGTTTTTTTTTCTGAGAGGAACACTTCTAATGTTTTTGTAGTGTGTAATTTGCACTATGACTGGCCGGCTATAGCTTCTCATCTAAACAAAAGCTTTGTTGGGTGCTTTGTGGATGTACCTTCTAAGTGCTATGATCTGAATATCTGCATTCCTCTAGTTTTTTCTTTCATGAAAATGCTCGTGAAATTGATTTGGCATCATTATAATTTGCTAGTTTTCTGTTTTGAGATGTCTCTCCTTGTTGTCATTGACCCACTGGGAAGATCTGAATTCTTCATTTTTTCTTGTGGAACTTGACCTTGGGAAGGTATTGTCCATGTCACATGAATTGTATGTGTAGCAAATAGTTGTATGTGTAGCAAATAGTTGTATGTGATTGCTCAAAAGAAGAAATCCTAGTGAGTAGCTTTTTGGGCAACAGCTGTTGTCTTTGTTACTGTCCTGCTAGATGTTGAATTGCTCAAGCAATTTCTTTTATTGGGTTCGACTCTGACTGGTGGTGGATATATATCCCAGGGCAACCTCGGCGTCACTTGCTGACTACTGGGTGGAGTGTCTTTGTTAGTGCAAAAAAGTTGGTTGCTGGCGATGCTTTTATCTTCCTAAGGTAAGTTGTATGAAGAACAACCGGACCTGATGATTGGATTATTGATTATAATGCCTGAAGTTAACAGTATGAAATCCTTGTTCTTCTTTTTCTTCAGGGGGGAAAATGGAGAGCTACGTGTTGGAGTAAGGAGGCTTATGAGGCTTTTAAATAATATGCCATCATCTGTGATATCAAGTCATAGCATGCATCTGGGCGTTCTTGCTACAGCTTCGCATGCAATTGCAACTGGAACCCTTTTTTCAGTTTTTTATAAGCCAAGGTATTCATTAGCCTTTGTTTATTTGGAGCGGTGTCTCTCCGATTCGTTTAAGCTGCTTTATGGATGAGTGGAAAATGAATTTTAATACTGTTCGTATAATGAATGAACCTGATATAATTGGCCCAAAACAATGTAGTTTGTTCTTTGAATTAGCATTTTGATTTGCTTAAGCTTAGTTATGGTGACTGGGTGCATCAAAGTTCCTTGGCTTTGCAATGGCTGGGGAGGGAAGCTTTTGTATGAGTTCTCTCTGTCCATTTGGCAGAGTCTTTTTGGGTTTTGTACGAACTTAATGTGTTATGATTTCTTTACAAGGCAAATTCATAGTTTGTCATAGTTTGCGGCCTTTGGAGCAAGTGTCAACCCTCACAGGTTGATCCTTCAAGTTTTCTTTTAAATATTGTTGTGCGAGTATATAATTGGGGAAGTGTGAGAACAATGATGGATCAATTTAAAAATATTCTTCTTTTGATCTATTTTGCTTAAATAATCACATAACCGACACAAACACATGGCAATGGTTATTTGTTTTTATAGTTTGTTTAGAGATTGTCATTGCTGAATTTGGCATTATTTGTGGTCAGAACTAGTCGATCTGAGTTCATTGTCAGCCTTAACAAGTATCTTGAAGCTCGAAATCACAAGCTTTTGGTTGGAATGAGGTTTAAGATGAGATTTGAGGGTGAAGAGGTTCCTGAAAGAAGGTATCTACTGTATATGGCTCATTATCAACATGTTGGGTGCTTGAGAAGTGTCATAAACTGGTTATGTTACTTGTTGATGCAGGTTTAGTGGGACCATAGTTGGTGTTGGGGATACAGCATCATCGAAATGGCTGGACTCTGAATGGAGATCTTTAAAGGTGCTAAGACCGTTTTTCACAACGCAGGGATTCCGTCCCTCTAGAGCTCAGTTAGCATGCTTAGTTAGCCCTCGAGTAATTGGTAGTCTATCTACACAATACGTGAATAGCATATATAAAATAAGCACATACCTAAGCTGTGGCAACCTGCTTTTACTTCTAATTTCTATGTGGATAATAGTCTAAACTACTGTGGAATTTTTTTGCTTTGCTCTGCTCTTTCCTTTTCGGCTTTAATTTTTAAATTTATAATTCATGAATTTTCATCACCATTCTTTAAAAAATATCATAATCAGCCATCTCGTATCCCAACACTGTATTCCCCCTCTTGATGCACCTGTAGAATTTCTCCTGTGAAGCACTCAAAACAAGGATTTAACAGGAGGCAGAGGCATTTGTGCTTGACATATTAGTGTTGTTAGTTTTGATATGAATGATTAGATATATACATAAAGGGGTTTATGTTTTTCTTTTATCAGTCTAGAGAAGATAAACTTGTTCTACAATTTACTGATATGTTCTTTGTACACACATTGTGGAGTTATTCTGAGCTTCTATGCTTCATTCTTCATGGTAAATATTTCTTGCTGGAATTCTAACTATGATCGACTTCATGTTTAAACGTACAATGTTGCCATCTACTACAGGTTCAATGGGATGAACTGTCATCGATACTACGCCCGGATAGAGTTTCACCCTGGGAACTAGAACCACTTGTTGCATCCAATTCAACAAACTCACCACCTCTACAGAGGAATAAGAGGGCCCGATCTGTTTTACCCAATTCTGTGCCAGATATTTCTGGACTTGGTATGGTAGCTTAGTTCAGAACCTTTATTTTTTTGTTTCCCCAACGCCTCTTCTCTGTGCCAACATTGGGAGCATGCTTTTTTTTTTTTGGGGGGGGGGGGGGAGTTAAGGATTTAGGCTCTTGGTGCTTTTTCAAGACCCTTTGGTTCCTAACTTCTTTTTTTGTGACCCTTTGTCTCTTAGGGATGTGGAAATCACCTGGTGACCGTCCCTCGGCTTTCCAGTATTGTGATCCCCAACGTGGACGTGATATATACCCATCAAATAATATCTCTTCTATCACGGGTATCTCTCTGAGCTACAGTGAGAATGGTTCTTTGCCTCCTGCTTCCACCACTTCTATGCATTGGTCTAACTTAAGGGAAGCGATAACAGAATCATTTGAACCTCTTGCTAGTAAAGAAAGTGGTGAAAAGAGACAAAGTAATGGCTACAGGCTATTTGGAATCGAGTTACTTGAACACCCAAATGTTGATGAAACTTCACCAATGGTTGTGTCGAGAACAGTGGCCGAGGAACGACCGCTCTGCCCTGTTGATACAGAATCTGATTGGGGGTCTGAACCATCAAATGTCAACCGTTCTGATATTCCTTCAGCAAGTTGTGAGCCTGAAAAGTGCAGCATGAGATCTCAGGAGTTCCATACCAGGCAAATTCGTAGCTGCACGAAAGTATGCTGTAGTTATCTAATTCCTTATTTTATTGTGATGTGAAAATTGTGGCACTGATTGTTGATTATTTAATGCCTTGGAAAAGGTTTGAATATGATTAGTATTATTAAATTCTGGTTGCAAAAGAACATCTCACTTTAAATCAATCTCAGGAGGTGTGCTATTTGTTAAATAACGACTGTCGTTTGATTTTTTTGGGTTATCTTTGATGCAGTAGTTATCAATTCTTGCAGGTTCATATGCAAGGGATTGCTGTTGGTAGGGCTGTCGATTTAACGCAGTTGAATTGTTACGAGGATTTACTGCGGAAGCTGGAAAATATGTTTGAAATTGAAGGTGAACTTCATGTGGTACCAAAGAAATGGCAGGTTGTATACACTGATTGCGAGGATGACATTATGATGGTCGGTGATGATCCTTGGCAGTAAGTTCATTTCACCATCATTGTTACTACCTTTCCTCCAAATAAAAAATAAGAAAAGATATTGATAACTGAAAAAATATGAGCTAATAAGAAAAGGTGATAAAGCTGTAATCGATAGAATGAGAAGTATCTGTGAGTGCAAGAACAAATACAAGGCATGGGAAGATGCAGAACTCTGAATTTATAGGCTATTTAGGATACGTTTGGTACGCGGGACATGACAGTATAAAAACTTGTTGCCCCATGAAACGAAAACAGGCGGAACAGAAAGATCCATGTCAAATTAAAACCCTAAAACCTTCTCCTGCCTTCATCATTTTCGTTCGTTTAGTCCTATCTAGTCCATCAAACACACCCTTAGAGATTGCTTCTTTTTAGAATAGATAATGTAGTTGGGTCTTTTTTTGGGAATGTAATTTGCATATATTTTGGTTGTATATATGTACAGTGAGTTCTGCAGCATGGTGCGAAAGATCTTCATATACACCACGGAAGAAGCCAAGAGGCTTTCCCCAAAGATCAAACTTCCGGAAAATGATGAATTAATACAAGGGAAGCTGGTTTTAAATGCTCAGGTTAGCACTGAAGAGCAGTCCTCATCAAACGAGGGTTTTGGTTGCTGATTTTTCAGGGCTGTTTTTCTTTCCTGTTTTTGGAAGAGTAAAACCACGTCTTTTTGGGACCGAAAAGCAGTTATATGGTCTGCTTTTACGGGTTTGATATTGATTTTCGTATTATTGTTGTTGTTATTTTGGGTTGGAGGTTATGTGTTGCTCTGCTTGTTTTGGGTAAAAGACATTGGTCTGCCCATATCTATCTTTAGAAAGAGAGAGAGAGAGAGAGATAGGAAGTAGTTTCTGCCCTTATTTTTGACCTTTCCCATAATATACAGGTTCTTGTATATAAATCAAGTGTAAGTGTTGCCTTCCAACATCTTTTACTTAATGTTTCCTTTCTTGATGGTTGCAATTTCGATTTCGGTGAAAAGAGTTGGTTAGCAAGATTGGATTAGAATTTAATCAATAAGTTAGAACCATGAAGTTGGACGTATGTTTGGAGTCGAAGCTTGGCTAGGTTTATCGAGTCAAAACTACATAAAAGAATAAAACAAACGAAGAACGAATGTATAATTATATATAACTAATCTCGATAAACCTATGTGAGAAGCGTAAGAAGGGATCTGAGCCTTGTATTATTATGCTCTCAAGCTTAAGATGGGAAGAGTGAAATAGATAAAGTTTGGAAACTGAAAACGGGCTTGGAAGATGGGGTTTGGTGAAGATATTGATTGTTTGTTCAACCATATCTTAAGGCATAAAATTTGTTTATGTGATTCCAGTCTTCTTGCAAACTGCTGTCACATGACCATATGGTAAACCAGACAGTATCCATTTCCTACAACTACAAGTCTGTTGCAGTAGATCAACATTATCATTCATATGGCCATCTCTTACTTCAAACGATGTGCTTGTAACATTGTGTGTTGTCCATGTTGCATTTTTGTTAATTCTATAATTATTTTTTCCTCCGTCCAAGGGGTAAGTTCCTGTCTAAGTGAGGCTGCATAATTTATAGCTTGTTAAGGTTAAAAACATTTACGTAAAACAAATATGCAATTGTTTATATATTTACCTCCAACTTTGCGATGATCGTAATACCATTACTGCAGTGAGATGAGGAAAAAATCAATCAACATCGAGATCGAAAAGCGTCGTGCATACCTTGACAATACGTTTACGAACTCTGCACTATTGAAAGTCGTGACATTGTAACGCATTCCAACGAAATGTGCTCTTGACCATTTCGTTTTGTCAGCATCGTCAAGTGTTTTTCTTGCATTGACTGGTAGATTTTGACGAAGTTCGGCTAACTTTTGTTCAAAATCTTCTATCGTATAAGCTTTGCAGGTCCTCTAAAACATCTCTCCTAACAACTTGTCTTTTTTTGTGCTAAATCGTAAATTCATTTCGAGATGTCGACAACAAAGCCTATGATTCGCGGTAGGAAATATAGATCCAATCGCCATGTTGATGGAAGTAGCTTGATCAGATATGATGCACAAATTTTCCGGCTCACTGATGCATTTTTTCAACGTGAATAAAAACCATGTCCAGGTCTCCACACTCTCTGTCTTGCCTACCCCATAAGCAATAAACATAATTTGATTATTTCTGTCCATGCCAACAGGCAAAAACATAGTACCTAAGTAAGTACCTTTCAAATGAGCACCGTTTATTATAATTAGCGGTCGTAAGTGATTCACAAACGATTGAATTTGTAAAAAATGAAAAATAACAAACAAAATGAGTATATATAAAAATAGTGTATATACATATAATTTCAATAAAGACCTAATGAAAATGTTCTTACCACACAACCAATGGCGACAAATAAACGCTCAAACCGTGCCCTTTCATCCGTCTTGATCTTCGTTACAGTCCCTGCATCAGTCTTTTTCCAAATTGTAGCAGTATACTAAGAGTAAGGAAAACGATTCCTCCGGGTCACTTCTTAGCAGGAGAATGACATAACACTTTGCACGCCAAGCTTGCATATAGCTAACTGAGATTTTGTAGTTGTTCTTCATATCGACAATGATGTCATGGCTCTTGTATATTCTAACTGCGTCATTCATCGCATCTTTCAGTATATGACCCAACACCTTCTTGTTTGCTTGCCGGTGATTGAGATAAACTTGCGTTTGTGAAGATGTGTGTCAGTCCTTAAATGTATGAACCTAATACAATGTTGTACCATTAATTACGGTTGCTCCTATTCTCCATTCACAATTTTCTAATATACATACTGCTTCAAACCTAGATCGCGTGGAGCGAGTGATTTTAATTTGGCAACCCTCTTCAAGACAATTCAGTCGTCGGGCTAGTTTGAAGTCTTCTTTACCCTTGAAAATTTGCCGAACTTTCACTCGTTTAGAATGTTGATATTTGGGGGCCAGTTCGTTAGGCTTCACAATAGGGATCGACGTTGGTAATAGGGGAGGCATGCTGATAATTGTGCAAAAGCATACACTTTAGCACTTAATTATAACTTTATTTCACTTCATTTTACACATTTCCCAATCTTATATTAAGTCTTTTAGTTTTATTTTATGGTTTCACATTCATTGGAGTTAGGATGCGGGAATGATACTGTTTTATGTATTTGGTGAATGAAATGTTGACATAAGCATTGTTGTAGCATGTGTATACGTTGCTGCAACATTGGACACTGGATATTGGCACAACTGGTTCAATCCCATTTAATATTTTGAAAAGTCAAATTTTGGAAGATGACATCTTCTAGTACTGATAGGAGACGATTTTTATAGAAGTTAGAATATGTCACTACAAAGATAACCTTTTGTACTTAAGCAAGCATCTTTTGTATTAGGGCATCTTTTGTATTACCCATTGGTTAATAATCAATGGTTATTACCCACTTGTACTTTTGATTCCCCTCTTGCTAGTATATATATGGGGGTAATCTTTTATTTAAGTAACATTTTGAGCAATATCACTTTGCCAGGAACAAATCTTCTTCTAAGCCTTGGGTCCTTGTTATTTTTTAATATCATTTTGTAAGTACTTTTAAGTGTTCTTTGTCATTGCAGTTGTTACAACAACCTTTCCATCTTTCTCTTTACTTTTCATGTAGAATTTACTTTTACGTCATTTACATTTAGTTATTTCCATTTATGGCATCCACTTTTAAGAACTTACATTCAATCATGCTAGGCTAAATACCTTAGTATAGATGTAAGTGAAGGTTGTGAGATTACGCCAGTGTTAGTCGATGATTGCTTGTTAATAGCAATATATTTCACTATTCACAAGTGATATCAATACTTCATCTGGTAATCTTTGACAAATAGACACATGTTATTTTATTCGGATGAGTTGGACTTAAAATTTAGACAATACAAATATTTTTACGAAGTGTTGGCTGCCAACTCTCTCAAAGTTATTTTCTTCCAGAAGCTTTATTGCTTCTAAAAACCCTTTTCTGAAATATCACTTTAAAATTTAACTTTTGTGACTCTCTTTGCATTCTAAATATCTATGGAACGATATTTGGTATTACTCATCATTATTCCTTGATTTGGACGATACTTGTAAGCCATGTATACTTGCATGATTTAGTTGTTATTATAGTTTTTGAGGGTACATATTCCTTCACACCAAGTTTTTGGCGTCGTGGCCGGGGATTTTTAGCCAAAAAGAGTGTTTCTATAAGTTACTTTAAAATTTGATTTTTCTACCATCAAGTGTTTATTTTTAGTGGTTTGTGCCAAAGATACCTCACAGGGCTATTTTTGAGTTAGATCCCGACATTTAAAGAACCTTTAGAAGGTGAAGAAGGGTACAAAGAAATATGTTGCCTATTCTAGCTACTCCTGAAATGGCTCAAGTCGGACCTGATCCAATACTCAATCATGAGGAGGAGGTTATTAGGCTTGCAAATTCAAAGACTGCCGGCATCATGGACTATACTATTTCAATCTTAAATTAATTACACCCTGGAATACGTAGGCCCACTATTGATGGTGACCACTTTGAATTTAATCCCATCATGTTTCACATGTTACAAACAAATGGTCAATATGTTGGATTACCATCTGAGGGTCCTCATTTGCATCTTAGATCTTTTATGGAAGTATTGAAACTTTCCATCTTAATGAAATTTCTGATGATGCCTTAAGGCTAAAGTTATTTCTTTTTTCATTAGGAGATAGAGCCAAAGTGTGGTACAACTCTTTGCAACCAGACTCAACCACATGGAATGAGATGACTGAGAAGTTTTTAAATAAATATTTTCCCCCAACCAGGAGTTTCAGTTCAGAAATTAAATTTGTCTTTTTAGATAATTGGATGATGAAGCAGTTCCTGATGCTTGGGAGAGGTACAAGGAATTACTAAGGAAATGCCCACATCATGGCATACCCTATGGCATAGAGCTGGAAACATTTTACAATGGTCTGGACACCACTGCTAAACAAATGTTAGATGCTACTGCAGGAGGAGCCATTACTTCCAGTATCTATAATGATGGTTTTGATATTTTGGAGAAAATTCTAACAACAATGGTCATTGGTCAGATCCTAGAGCAATAACACCCAAAAAGACAACAGTCATTCATGAAATAGATCCTTATACTGCTCTCACAACACATATAACAACAATGACTAGCTTGTTGAAAAACTTGGTTGTCCCTGCTGCTAACATTGTTGCTACTGCAGTTGTTTCTGAATCCTTGCTTGTCCAATGTGTGTACTGCAGTGAAGGTCATACTTTTGACCAATGCAGCCTTAACTTTGAATATGTGAATTATGTGCACAACAGACCTACCCAATTTTCAAACACTTACAACTTTAGTTGGAAAACCATCCTAATATCTCTTGGAATAGTCCATGTTTAAACCCACCAGATGTAAAAGAGCAAAGACAAGGTTTTCAACCAACTGTTTCTCAAGGTCAACCTGCTCATTTCAACATCATTCTATTTTTTAAAACAAGCCAAACAAACAAGGTGATTCATCCAGTTTTTTGGAAGCATATTTGAAAGGTTTTATAAATCAAACCAACTTAGCGATGAATCATCAAAATGCTAACATTAGGACTTTGGAAACACAGATTGGTCAAATAGCACTAGAGTTGAGGAACAGACCTGTTGGAACTTTACCCGATGATATTGAGATCCCTAAGATACTGACCAAGGAGCATGTAAAAGTTGTGATCTTAAGGAGTGGAAAAGATCTAGTAGAAATTTCACAAAAAGCCACTGTAGAAGCTGAACCAATTGTTACAATAATACCACCTATTGCTGCAGCACCCCCCCTGTTGTTTCTAAACCTGCAGAAAACCAAGGATCTGCATCCATGCCAAGAAGATCAGATTTCTCATTGCTTTTTTCTAGTGAAACAAAACCAAAA